ACTCTACTAGCATTATTGCAGGAACTAAAGCTCAGCCTTGGTTTCCGCAATTTTAGCACAGTGCTTTAACAAGAAGGTAAGAGAACTCTAACTCCTCCTGCCAGAGCAAGTATAACCAATACCAACCTCTCTCTCAACATTAATGTAGAACTGCTTGATACCCTCCAGAGTCAGTTCTTCCTTCTTCACCAAAATACGGATGGGATCTCTCATGAACTTTTTGGTCACTTCCAACACATCCATTGGCATTGTAGCTGACAGCAACACAACCTAAAAACGTGTTACTGTTAGTACATACTCCATACAACGATTTTCATATGTACAATTCAGTTCTCAGCCACATTATAACCAGATCTGCATGCATCAACTTTACCATGCAAAAGCTTTTTTACCTGGATGTTTGTGCTTAGTTTTTGAAAGATCTCATAAATTTGATCCTTAAATCCACGGCTCAACATTTCATCAGCTTCATCCAGAACAAACATTTTGATCCATTTTGGTGCTATTGGAAAAAGAGAAGCATCTCCTGAAGTTTCAGATACACACAATGCTTTACAAAAATCACACTTCTGTACTAAGCTTTCCAGCAGAACAAATACACTAAAGCTCTTAGTGGGAATGAGGCTTTCACTGGAAATTTATTAGCAAGGGCACAGTGAGATTCATACTTACAAAGATAGCGCCTGTTTAGCATATCAAACACACGCCCCGGAGTTCCCACCACGATGTGTGGAGCCTCAGCCTGGAGTTTCTGCATTTCATTGCGCACATTTGTACCACCAATACAAGCGTGGCATGTTGCTCCCATGTAGTCTCCAAGGGCCAGGATTACCTTCTGAATCTAAAATAAAACCTTCCATTAGTAGTTCATAGGACAATAAAGCTTAAGCCCCATTATCACAGGCTTTTATACACTTTGGAAGCTGAGACACCAAACAAGGTCTGTGGAGCTCTTGGAACTGAGAGCTGCTAGAAAGACTTTGCCCAACTTCACATAACTCAAGTGGTTAACTAGAAAGCAGAGGGACAGTTAAAGTCACACTTTTGCTCTTACTAGTTGAGCTTGCTGAGTGACTGCCATGAGGCAATTACTAAGCTGAGAGCAGGGCCACCAAAAGGGAGCTCAAGCTCTCAGTTGCTCAGGCCTGCATGGTAAGCACTTGGACACTTTTGAGCTGTGTCCAAGGGCAGCACTATAGGCCAGGTTTCAAAACAAGTCTCACCTCAACAGCTTTAGAGTATAAGAAAGGCCTATACACCAATGTTTTTTTGTTTGTTTTCTGTTATGTTTAGCTTTATCTTGAAGAATTGTCACATAACACTGGCATTTCTATCTATTCAACTAGTATAGTCTAGTTGAAAATGACAGTACAAGTTTTCTACTTTAGAGTTGTTTCAACACTGCACTTTAAAGACTCCAGATTACTGATGCACTTATCCTAAAAATTCAAGTATTCTTGAAGTTATTACCACACACCCACTTAACGTAACAGAATACCAAGCCTTGGAGGTGGAAGAGACATGCAATTATGTTGTCAAGAGAACATACAAAGATACAAAACCATTTAAGTAACCAAATGCGCACAGCAGTTTTCATGTTGCACAACTGCATTTAAGTTTAAATAGCTTCCAAATAAGTAAATTGTTTGTTTCCACTCAGAACACTGTGCTTTAGTAATTGTGTTTTTCTGCTGAAGATGCTCCCTCCACTTTACACACAGCACAGCAGCTGCCTCCTGCACTCCTGCCCCAGCACACCCTCCATGTGCATCAACTCAGCTGTCCAAGGAGGCAGAGAACTTGTGGGACAGAAGCCAGTTTGTAACCCCCATTACTTGACACAAAAAGGGTTCTGAATGGATATTTACAGCCCCTTAAGAAGCCTGGTAATGTGTCACAGTTGTGAAACCTGAAACCTATGCAACACACAAAGTTTTTTGTTTTTTTAAACTACACTATCAATACCTGTTGAGCCAGTTCTCTGGTAGGGGCCAATACTAGTGCCTGGGACTCCTTGAGATCAATCTCCAACTGCTGCAGGATGGAAATAGCAAATGTGGCTGTCTTGCCAGTACCTGACTGAGCTTGAGCAATCACATCATATCCTAAAAAAAGTAGGATACACATTTACTGCTCCCACACGGGTCAATCATGTTAGTTTTATTTAATTCCCCTTGAAGTAAGTGATCAGTACTACAGAGTTCTCTCCATTTCAGGTCAGTCCCGAAAGATGGTGTACCATCATATCACTTGTTCAATCAAGACTGAAATTCGTTATTACTGGACACTAATGAAATATATGCATTTTACAATGCTTAGTTATCTGATGTTGATATTAACGAATCTACCGCATACCTTTGATGCATGGAATAATAGCTCTTTGCTGAATAGCTGAAGGCTTCTCAAAACCATAAGCATAAATGCCCCTTAGAAGGGATTCTTTTAAATTCATATCATCGAAATTGTCAACAATCTCATTCCAATTGCTCTGTAATAAAAGAATAATAAAAAATAGTAAATTTAATACTCCTGTCCACCACTGATTAAATTTTCAGGTCAGGTCATAAGTGCTCACCTCGATGACACCATCGGGCTCCATTCCCTCTGGGCCGCCATGGTCTCTGTCATGAAAGAGAACACGCTGTTAGCACAAGAGCCACCACCATGCAGAAGCGAGCTAACACCTCGGCTGAGAAAGCGGCGAAATCCGTGACAGATCATTCCAGCAGGTGCTCTCTCAGCTTTTGCCAATGGACAAACTCCTACCCCTCTTCCTCAGTGGCCCAGGCGCAAAGAAAGCTCGTTCCCAGCTCCCGGAGCCGGACCCGACGCCGGGGGCATGG